GGGGGGGGGGCAGTGGGGAAACGGGAGACATCTATAATACTCTCACCGCTAAAGATTTACAAATTAATAAATAAAATTTAAAAAATGATGCCATGTCATTTAAAGGATAATCCTTAGTATAGTTCTCCTGAGAATAGTGATTCCAGAACAAAAGGAATTTAAAAGAAATTATATAATGACTAGAAATTTAAAGTAGCACAATCAAAAAGATAGGAGATAATGGAATGATATGGAATGGATGGGAAAAGAGTTAATAGCGTAAAGCACAAAGTGCTTGTAGAGTCATTGTGTGAAAGGGTAGGGCAAGCAATGGGAGGTAACTGGGCCCGGGTCATAAACTTCAGTGAGTAGGGATTGTTGGAGTTGAGAGCTCACGCCCCTTTGGAAGGAAGCAACTGTTGCTCAGCTCCATCTAGTTGTTTATGTGCAGGATTATGGGCCTGTTATTTCCAGATCTGAATTTTTCAAGACAAGCCAGAAATCTAGATTTTAATGTGAAATTTACTAGTTTTTAAAATGACATTTTCTTTACACTATGTGGACCAAACAATATATCTGAGAGCTAGATATGACCCTCAGGTTGCCAGTTAGTTACTGTTTTATTCAAATATGAGAAGACCGTCAAGATCCCAATGGGAAAATGAACCAAGAACATGAATATACTAATGTTCCCAAGAAATACAACTAGAAATGAATATGAAAAGAGTTTCAGTCTCACTGGTAATTAGGACATGTAAGTTAAAATAATAAAATATTATTTTATACCTCTAAAACTGGAAAATAATAAAACAATATAATCTAGGGCACTCTGGGTTATGGGGTAGCAAGTATAATGATTTACTATAAATTTATAATCCTTTATAGGTAGGACAGCTTGACAGGAGCCATAAAAATAAGCCTGTCCTTTTGCCTAGAAACTAGTCTTAGGAATTTATTCCTTGAAAAGAATTCAAAAGAAGAAAAAGTAATAAGTGGTCAGATTTTTATAACTTTATATAAAAATGGTAAGAAATGAAACAGTTTGAAAGTTTGTTAAAAGAATTTGATATATGGCCAATACATGCAATTAAGAATGATAAATCAGATGGTTAGAAACATGGAAATGTTTATAAATCTTTACCTGAAAACACACACACTTGTACTTCTTATGACTACAATCATGATCAACTATGAACATTTATGTGGATAAATTTTGAAATTTAATGCTTGATGGAAATAATTGCTACGTTAGAGTGGTAGCATAAATGAAGATAGTATAAATAAGTAGAAAAAAAACAGTATTTGTCATGCTTAAAGTGATTTAGTATTTGAAAAAATAGATTCTTTCAAAGGAGTACTTGTAAAAATTGCAGGATTTTAAAAAAATGCATTAGATTTTTCTACTACTTTAGAAATGATTGCATTCATTTTTTATGCCTCTACAACCAATGTTATTTGCTCTTGATTTATCTATTTCATTTTTTACACTTGGTTTTGGTATCATGACCTTGCCTTCTGGGGATGTTTGAAAATAGGCGACACTGTATTTTTTTCTGCTCTTTAGTACTCTCCATTATTTTGATCTTGTTTATAACTTGCTAGAACTTGTATAGCAGAATAATGCTTAACTACATTTTTTGCTTCTTTTGTTTTATAAATTCATTTTTGTTAGGAGATTTCTAACATTATGAGCATCAGGTGATATGTTTTCTTTCAGCGGTGTCCGGGAGTAGCAGCACCAACAGCCCACCGGCAGGAATGTCTGTTAAGTCTCCAAATCAGAGTCTCCGCCTTGGCTTGTCCAGATTAGCGCGAGTTAAACCTCTGCATCCAAATGCCGCTAGTAGCTGAGTGTGGTAGTGAAGAAATGTTTGTTTAAGAGAATCCGTTTAACAAGTGTGTTTATATTGTAATATAAATGAATCCTTTAATGTCATATAAATTATCTGCCAATTTTGTGATTATGTTCTCTGAAAAGCTATTCAAGACTTCAGTAAGAGGTTTGTTTATAAGAATTATCTTGTATGTCATTTCCTTCTAAAGAGCATATTCTATATCCTTATATATAATAAGTCATTGCCATTAAGTGGTTGTCTATTTGACATGGAGGAAGTCCACATTACATGCTGTTTTTTTCTAGTAACATGAGGTTTCTTTCTAGCTTTGACTAGTTTATGGCACCTTAACTTTGTTCAGAGTTTATCTGGCAAAAGAAAACATTCCCATTTTTTTTAGGGGACATTTCTGGAATATGTTACTTAAGCTACATTGTCAGTTTTATTGCCAAGCTGTTTATTATTTTAGCCAAATATTTTTATAGTAAGAATTCAGAATGAATTTACACATTAAAATAGGTCTATAATATGGCATATGTCTCCTACTTAGAAATAGATGGTTATTGTAGAACAAATAGAATTTCATGACATGTTATGAAGTCCTCATTGCCAAAACCTTTAATAAACTTGAAAAAGTTTTGATATGCTCTTTTCCTTTATTTCATTGCATCCATCTGTCTCTACTGTCTGCATTTCATGACAAAATGAATGCTTAGCCAAAATCATTAGCCTTTTGTTGTAAATATAAAGGGAGAGCTGTTAAAAGTAATCACTTTAGGTTAAGTCAGTGCTTTCAAGGGTGCCTGTCGAGTACCCAGTTGTCCCTATTATGATATTAGATAATGTAGCTTTTCAGGAAACTTAGATCTGAATTTGTGAATAAAAATAGTAATAGATATTTTATATTTATGGTGAGAATTTCAACCAACTCCTCATCACTTTTTGATAAAAATTCTTCAAATTACATTAACCATTAAAAAATATATAATACATAGCTCAATTCTTGGTTTATGGAAACATCTATGTTAATGTGAAAATAATTTAGAATTATGATTAAAATGAGCATTTTCTTATTGCTATTGTCCATTTTTTATTATCTAGTGTACATTTTTATACTGTCATATACCACCTCACCTACCCCAGGCCACCCCCCCCCCTTTTTTGTAATCCTCACCCAAAGATATTTTTTCCATTGATTTTTAGAGAGAGTGGGAGGGGGGAAAGAGAGAGAAACATCGAAGTGAGACAGACACATCATTTGGTTGCCTCCAACACATGCCCTGACAGGGGCCAGGAATGAACCCGAAACCCAGGAACCTGCCCTTGACCTGGAATCGAACCCAGGACCCTTTGGCGTGCGGGCCGATGCCCTAACCACTGAGCACGCTGGCCAGTGCCCACTCCTTTTTAAAAACATATTTTCCAGTTACACAGTATTGAGATACCCTATATGTTGCAGTTTAACAGTAAACATTTATTAAGAGCCCACCCTGCATTAGGTGCTGATGTCCTCTGGCACCAGCTTGATGAACCTGTTTTCTCCGTGTTAGTCATAGTTTCTATTGAAAATTACCCCAAAATGAGTTAAACTGGACTTGCAGAAAGCATTGAGTTTTCTGTTGCCAAATTCAGTACACATTTCTCTCCTCTAATCTTATAGACTCTATTCACCGTACTCTGCATAATACATTTTATTTTCTGGGCTTGCAGAACACTTCTTTCATAATTTCTCCCCACCTCCCTGCTTACTCTTCATTATTTTGCAGCTTTCTAATCTTGTGTCACCTACACCCCCTCCTCCCACCATAGTGTCATATTCTGCGGTTTTATTGTTTTTCTACCCTTATAAAAAACACACACACACAAACTTGGGTGATTTCAACCTCCAGTGGTCACCTACATGAAAGTGTCTGCCAACCTAGGATCTTCAGTCCAGATCTCGTTCTGCACAAGACCTGTTGCCTGGTCCATTGATAATTTGATGTATTAAGTCATCACTAAATCAATAATACTCCCCCTTGACCCCAAAGTCTTCCCTCCTATATTTTCTGATAGTAAATGGCACCCCACAGTCAGGTGCCTAAGGAATTATCACCTTCACATCCAATCACCAAGCTCTGTTTCATTTCCTCAATTGCTCAAAACTTCTCTCCTTCCACTTGCTGTCTGTTACTCCAAAACATCATGGCTTAACTACTTTTAACAGGTTTCCTTGCCTTGATTCTTGACCTACTCTGACCTACCCTCCATACCATTATTGCCAGAGGGAATTTTCTAAAAGTCTGAGCATGAACACCCCTCTGCTTAAAATCCACAGACATACACTTTAGCCTGTTTCGCTCACTAGATATTTTGAATTAGTCCGACCCCTGCCTGACACCCATGGTACTGTGTGGTCCTGGATCCTGGACCTTCAGACTGGTTCTTATTTGCCACCTTTGCATTGCCAATTCCTAGTTGTCCTTGAAAATTGAAATTCAACTCAGCTTTTCAAAAAGCTTTATTTGGATGTCTGTTTACGGACCAGACTGTGGATTCGTTCAGACCACGCCACTGTCATTCAACTATAACGTTCCTTAGAGGGCAGGGATAATTTCATGCGTCTGGTCTTGTTTGGTCATCCTAGTCTCGGGCCTCGGGAAGTCCTTCAATTCCTGTCCCAAACTTTAAAGAACTTGGTTAAGAGAAAGGGAGCAGGAGGGAACGAGGGGTGTTTTTCAGGTGGATGGGGAAAGGCGGTTTGGGACTGGACCAGAGCCTTAAGTCCTTTCAGCTCCGGAGTCACAAAAAGGGCGGGCGCAGTTTCTACGGCGACGGGAGGAGGGCGTGGTCCCCCGGCCGCTGCCCCCTGGCTCCGGGTCGGCGCCAGCTGCCCAGTGCGCCTCCTCCCTCCTCCCACCCCCTCGGGGACGAAGGCGAGAGAGGCGGGGCGCGGTCCCGCGC